GCCAGCGCAAACCCAAGAGCCCAGGCCTCACAGCGCTTGGTTACGGCAGGCAGCGGGAGCGTTGCCAGCGGCTCGCAGGTCCCTCGGGGTCCCAGCAGCCAATGCCAAGGACAGCCATCACAGGTAAGATGGGCCCTGAGTGGCACGGGGGAACAACACATCCTCCCGTGGCGCAGCTCCGGGGAGACGAACATCCTGCACACAGCAGAGCCGGCGGCGCTCCCTCCTGCCAGGCTGCCTGTGGGTGCCAGCCGCACTGAGAAGGAGCCAAAGAGCTCACCTGCCAACCAGCCTGAACCAGGGAAAGCGGTCGTAGAAAGGATCTCCACCAGTCACCACATTGTCGCAGTCCTCGATGACGCTAGAAGGCACTTCTGCTGCACGGTCATACATTTCGCGCATCAGGTCCAGGCGTTGCCTGCAGGCAGAGGGGACCACAGCGGGCAGCAGTGAGAAACCGGGCTGAGGTCGGCCAAGCCCTTCCCAGCACGGGCATCATTCGCCCACCTCAGCTTCTCCAGGGTCCAGTAATGCGTTGCCCCATTCTTCTGGTCCTGCACCTCTACGGCCACAATGGTCCGGGGGAATGGCCGCTTCTCCCGGTCCTTGGCAGCATCAGGAGGCAGCAGATCAGGAGGAAGAGGCGAGTACAGCGTGTCAGTGAGTAGCACAAACTGGAACTGGACCTGGAGAGGGATAGAGGTGCACGGTGAGCCACCTGGGAGGACAGTGGGCTCCATGTGGTGCCTTCAGTGACCCCCTCCTCAGCAATTCCCTGTCTGCCCATGCTTGTGGCCTCTGCCATGGGTGCCACAGCAAGCCAGAGAGGAGCCCCAGGCACCCACCTTCTTCTTCAGCTCCACACTGATGGCATTGGCTTCCTTGAGGAAGATGGCGTTTCCCCAAAGCAGGTCGCGGAGGGAGGTGAACTGGTACCACTTCCACTTCCTAAAGGCCCAGAGGGCCAGCTCAAACTCCCGCTCCGTCCACTGCACTGTGGGGACATGGAGGGACAGTCACCCCACTGCCAGGAGGGAGGATATCAGCATAGAGGTGCCCAGAGTACCTGCAGTCCACGCTTCTTGCTCCCACAGAGAGCATCAAAACCTTGTGGTGGCACCCAGCCCTCACCTTCATCCTCAGGTTCTTCCTCTTCCTCGTTTGCCTCAGGGTAATACCTAGAGTCCATCTGCTTCTGCAAAGCCTCCAATTTGCTCTCATAGTCCTGGGGGAAGCAAGGAGAGGGATGATGCAACCCACAAGGTGTCACCTTCCTTCATGCTGCCATATAGCGCTTCTCCCCCACCACAGGAACCCAGCCTCCTCCCTCCTTTGGATCCCTGTTTATGGGGACTACCCCAGGAACGATAGGTTTGCCCTTGGTTTTAGGACACACAGAGCCACCCCATGCAAAAATCTACCAGGACTCAGTCATGCCTGGGCAGCCTCAGAAAGAGCCAGGTCATAGAATCACAGAATCACAGAACAGTTTAGGTTGGAAGAGACCTTAAAGATCATCTCGTTCCAACTCCCCTGCCCTAGGCAGAGACACCTCCCACCAGCCCAGGTTGCTCCAAGCCCCATCCAACCTGGCCTTGAGCACCTCCAGGGATGAGGCAGCCACAGCTTCTTGGGGCAACCTGTGCCAGTGCCTCACCACCCTCAGAGTGAAAGGTCTCTTCCTAATACCTAAACTAAATCTCCCCTCTTCCAGTTTGAAGCCATTACCCCTCATCCTGTCACTACATGCCCTTGTAAAAGGTCCTGGCCACCTACCAGCCTCTGCTGCTCGAGAAGGTAGTTTGCCTCCTCCCGCTCCCTCCGGTACTGGTCCTCCAGTTCCTGAAGCCTGGGACGAACAGGGAAGGAGAGGATGACCAACCTGGAGATGGCTACCCAACTCCCCATTGCCCCAGCCCCTGGGCCCTCACCGCTGCTCCATCTCCTGCTTCATGTCGATGCCCTGCTTCTCCAGCAGCTCTCTTTGAGCGAAAGCCCAGTCCACAGGCTCAGCAGGGGTCTCAGCGCACGGGGTCCTCTCCCGCTCCTGCCGAGCCTGCTCGGGGTGGTTGAAGCGGAAGACGTGGCTCTTCCCCATGATGATGCGATTTCCTACAGACATGCAGGCGGGGTAGGGGGAAAGGGTGTGGGTTTAATGTGGGACAACCTGCAGGGCCCCTGTGGGATGGAGGGAGGTGGGGTAGAGCAGCGCTGGCGTGCTGGCTCCAGAGACCCACCTGAGCGCAGGATGCTGGGCTCCGTCACCTTTTTGCCATTCACATAGGTGTCGGCACCTTCACAGGGCTCCAGGGTGACTATAACTGCAGGGACAGTGGAAGAGGGAGAGAGGGAGAGAAGGTAAGGTGGAAGCAGAGGGATAAATCCTGCATCTCTGGCTCTGCTGCCCCTGCAGCATCAGAAAGGGAGAGCAGCCCCAGCTCACACCCCAGGCGTGGAGTGGGAGGACATCGGGATACCCACTGGCAGCACCCACACCCTGTGGAACCGACGGGGCTTGGCCAACCTCATGTTAATCCGATCAGTCCCAAGGACTAAAAGCAGCTGGAGACTGGGCATGAGAGGAGATCAGAGCCTCCAGCACGCATCTCCAGGCTCGCCTCCCAAAGCCCTTTGACTCCTGCTGGTTTGCAGGGAGGGCTCTTCTCCACGTCTCGGGTGGGCTCTGCTCCACATGTTGGGCAGGGGAATCATCTATGGTCTGCTCTTCCCTCCCACATGGATATCCCTAGCTTGCCTCATCATGGCAGCTTCCATGGGCCTTGCGCGAGCTTCCCTCCCAGCTAGGTGAGGGCCATAGCTCGCTCTGGAAGCACAGAGAGGCCACAGCCACACAAGAGAGCACCTCTAGTCTGAGGAGGGCAGGACCACCAGCTGGGGGCAGGTGCTGGGGACATGCAGATGGACTGTGTCTCTGAGGGGGGGTGGAGCCCCTCCAGACAAGGAATACCTTCACCGCCGGTTTTGGTGTCGCTGCGGAAAAGGCAATGCTCTTCCTTAATGAAGTGCCCGCTAAGAACGATGTCCTGCCTCTTCTCTGCATCTTCCCGGCCAACCCTGTTAGGGGAAACCCAGCTTGATCCTTCCTCAAAGCAGCCCCTCCCTGGGCCTCTCCCCAAAACCATCCTTGGGGCTGACAAGAGCAGCCCTTGGTGCTGGATCAACATCCCTAACAAGATTCCCAGGCACATATATTTTTCCTGCATGGCTACTGCACTTTGGGGATGCCCTGGGAACAGTGCCTAGCCCAGGGACAGCTGTCACCCCACTGCCCACCCAGGCAAGTCAGGCACTGAGGTATGGGCTAGGCTCCCACCACTCCACGGGACCTGGCCCTCACCTTGTTATCCCATCCTTGATGTAGTAGAGAAGACACTCGGACATGAGCGGGTCCTCATTCAGGTTGACCAAGTGGGGTGTCTGGGAGAGACAAACAAAGAGTCACCCCGGTGTGCCCCGTCTACACGGGTGCTAAGGGATGCTCCTGAGAGAGGTGGGAACTCAGCAGCACCTCAGGCTTCCCCCTGCACGTGGACGTGCTCTCCTGCCCTCCCTAGCTCGAGGACAACATGTCCAGGCAGGTACTTTTCAAGGAGACTGCGGAGAACCCAGCAGCTGGGATGAGGATGACCTGCCTCCACACGCTTACCTCCTCAAAGAGCTGAGACCTGGGCACCCTTCCCCTGGCTGCCTTTGAAAATTCGTGTGCCAAACAGGCCCAACACTTCCCATGGGGAGTCCCTGACGTGGCTTAACGTCTCCTGGGGAGGGACCCTGCTCGCCTGTGCTGCAAGTCCATGGGCCCTCGCCTAACCATAGCCCCCAGCTCCGCTGCAGACAATGTAGCTGAGGCAGAGACACATCCCATGCAGCAGTTGGTTTAGGATGAGAGGAACTAAAACTGCCCATTTTCTTCCACTGATGGTACAAGGACAGATGAAGCACCTAAAAAAGCAGGTCCCAAACCAGAGGTTCAACAAAAAGTAGTGGAGACCTGAACCTGAAGCCATATCTCCAGGCTAAATTTCACTTCTCCTTCCTAACAGTTCCCTCCCATCACTTTCTTCCCCTGGGTCACAAAGCACTTTGTTCTTGGTGAGAGGGAAGTTTCTCCCCCCTGGCACAGACCTCTCTGGCTGCAGCTAGCTTATCTCACCCCATCACAAGCTCTGCTGTGATTGCACCTTCAGGCAACAGGCAAAGTCCCAGGAGTATCTATCAGTAGGTGAAGTTCTGAGTTTCCCAGAAATAAGAATAGAGACCGTAAGAAATGTCTTATCAGCCCACTTACACTCGGCATGCAGAGGTTTCCCCATCACAACAGTGCTACAAGCTCTGGCTGATAGAAGAGACTGACTCCAAATAGCACAGGAGAGCTGGAGGTCAAGGGAAACACAGGCTCTTCTCCACGCTGGCTGGCAGGAATAAGTCAGCTGTAACATTTAACCTCAGGCCCCTCTAGCCAGTCACGTAGCCCTGGGGTCTGAGACTCCTTCAGCTTGCAGTTTTTTTCCAGATTTGCAAGGCTGGCTAGTAGAAGGCAGATGCTCTACAAATCCACTGAGCACCTTGGAGACGTAACCACCCAACGATGGCACATAGCAAGACAACAAAGTCCTGCCCTGCTTTGCCCTTAATGAAATGAGGCTTTGCACACTATCGATGCTAACTTTCCTCACCAGCCACTGGAGAAGTAAAGAGGAGTTTCCACTCGCCAGACAGCTGAAGAGCAAGGAGGCACCACACCACGCCCCACCTCCAAGACCAACCTGCTTCGGGGAATAAACCCCCACGCTTTCTACACAAAGGTCTGGGGTCCTAACAAGCAGCAGCTGAGACAAGAATGAGAAACAAAAATGACAGTGCAGGAACTTGTCTTAAGAGCCACATCAAGGCATCCAAGGGGAAGGTACCGAAGCCTTCATCACCAAGTGTCACCAACTTAGCTGGGGACACACACATCTACTAAGACATTTAGCCAAGCCAACCAGCATCAGCTGCTGGGGCAAGTCTCAGACCATCCTTTGGTGCAGAGGGACAGCCAAGCAAGCATGCCCTGGTCCTACCGGCACATGCCTACACCTCAGCAGCCTGTGCTGCTCTGCGGGCTTCACTGGGCTGGGGCTGTAAACTGGACGTCGTCACTACTGCCATGGTTATACACATGAGCAAGGGGCAGCAATGTGCTGTAAAATAGTGCTTGACAGGGTTTGCTGGCACACAAACTCTCTGCGGCACAGCCAGTTTTTGCTTAGAAAATACTTTCCAGGATGCTACAAGCAATAAAGAGTATGGAATATTTCCGCGCCCGCATTTCTCAGCGAGGACTTGCTGGTTTCAGGGCCAGCAATCTCAAGCATCTCAAAGTATGGATTTTTGTAAGATGACACTGAAATCCAACATAGTGACCGTCAGCAAAGCCCCACCTGAATGGGGACAGCATCCAGGCAACAGGGGCGGGATGTTTAGCCATGCGTTCAAACCAATGTTTGTACCCAGCAGGGTCAATGCTGGAATTTCCCCCGTAGTTTTCGGAGCCAAGAAAAGGCTAGTGCAATATTTGGGGCTGGCCAGCAGCAACAGGGCAGGTCTGAAGGGAGCTGTGGGGGTACAAACCAGCCCTTGTATGCCAGGAAGAAGGGAATAAGATGATCCTACCTTTTTAGGAGAGAAAACACCCAAGGTGCCTCCGTCCTCCCTCATGGCTACCCCCATTTCAGCCAGCAACGCTTCCCTGAAGGAACAAAGGAAAGAAGAACCTGTCAAAGCCCTACAAGCCCCTGGAGTTGGCACTAGTCAAGCCCAGGATGGGATCCGAGCGCACAGGTTTGCTCCACAGATCACAGCCGTAGGGCTTGCTTCCCTACAGCTCTCCTCTCTGTGCCTCAGGAGGGTTTCTCAGAGCAGACCACATCCATGCAGGCTAACATGGTGGGCACTGGGGTGCCTGGGGGGCAGCCACGGTATGGTTTGATGGTCAAATGTCCCGGCTGACCCCATGAGCTGAACAGGCAAAGCGCAGAGGCAGGGAGATGTCTGGAGAACCCCACTCCACCCCATCCCATCCCACCCCAAGCCACCCACCTCTCCATCCGGATTGCTTCTGTCCTCCGCAGCTTCTCCTCCCATGTCTCATTCAGCTCCGCAATAATCTTCTCCGTTTCCTGGCGAGTGTGGGGTTAGCAGGGGGTTAGCGTGTCCTACAGGCAGCAGACCTGCCCAGTCTGCCTGGCATGCCGCAGCGGGACACTGGTCCCAGTTTCAGGATGGTTTAAAGAAGCTGCGGCAGCATTTCACCCATCATCCCCCTCTTCAAAGAGGAAGGCACAAAGACCAGCCTCTCTATCCCCTTGCTGCCAGTCCGCTCCTGCGCTGTGCTGTGCTGGGACTGCCCGTCCCACAGGGCAAAGGCAGCAGTCACCCCGTGGGGAGCATGGCGGCACCAGGTAGACCCAACCATGCCAAACCCTCTCCCATCCGGCAGTCCGGAGCACTGGGCAGCTCTGGGTCTGTCCACTCTGCATGAGCACACCCGAGCATCGCTTCCCATGAGCATCACCCATTAATGGGCTTCCAGAAAATACCAAGCCCCTTCTGCAACCCTCAGTGCAAGAGAGTTGAGCTGAGCCTTCTGTTCTGCCAGGCACTGGCCTCTTACCTTGAGCCTTTCGATCGCTTCTTCACTGCCTGGAGCAAACATGATGCGCTCATGGAGGCTGGCAACGGAGGCAGCACGGCTGGATAAGGCCGACAGGGAGGAAGAGGGGCTGATCCCAGCGATGGCGTTGGTCACTGTGGAGAGATTGTCATGGCGGTGACTCAGCTCTGCCCCTCTAGCATCATTATTGTTCTCAAAGTCGGACACATCTACGGGCGGGGAAGGAAGGATGGACCAGGGAAAGACACACGGACAGGAAGAGAGAGAGAAAGAGAAAGACAGAGACAAGAAAAGCTGTTGGGAAAAACAAAACAAAAAAAAAGAGTGGCCAGGTGCAGTGAGAAGAAAGCCAGGAATTACAAGGAAAAGGCACAGGTGACAGACAGCACAGCAGCGCAGGCAGCAGCAGGGCAAGGGCACGCACATGTCTCCCCCAGCCCGGGCAGCCCCCCAGGAGCACAGGGCTGTTTTGGGAAGCAGCCACAGGAATAGCCCTGGAGCCTTCCTGGGCTCCCAGGGATGCTTTTTTGCAACATCAGATGCTGCAGGCGTCACGTCTGGGATCAACTGTCCTCCCCAAGAGCGTTCTGCTGCCCCTGTCATCCTCCCCCACCAACACAGCCGCAGTGGTTTTCCCTGCCTGGCTGCCCCAGATTAGCTGGATCTGGGGGCAGAGAATGAGAAGTGAAGGAGGGGAGGCGGTGGCCCTCTGCCTTACAGAGGGGTTGGGGGGATGGGGCAGGAGGAGCCATGGGATCCCCTGGCTGGCAGAGCCCACGCCACTGGCCCTCTGGGCAGCCAGACAGAGAACAAAGAGAGGGCAAGGGTGGCAACACGGTGTTGGCCTGCCGGCAACCGGAGCATCAGCTGCCACCAGACCCCGCAGCAAAGGGACCAGGTATCAGAGATGCTCCTCCAGCATTGAGATGTCACAGGGGTTCAGCACACTGTGCTGGAAGCAGGCAGGGCACAGGTTAGTTGGGTGCAGCATTAGTCACTCATCTCCGTCAGCCCACGTCAGGGGGAATTGAGCCAAGAGGGGATGGGCCAGGTCCCCATCTCCTCAGCAGGCTCGCCACAGCCTGGCTGCACTGCCTGGCCCAGGGTGAGATGGGGCGATAGTGCTTATCCACGGGCAAAAACCTCCTGGCCGTCACCACACACCCCTGTGTCAAGTGAGCACTGCGCCAGCCCACTCAAACGCTGTGCCAGGCTCCAGTCCTGACAAGCCCCAGCACCAGCAGAAGCAGCAGCAGCAGTGACAGGAAACATCGTGACAGCATGGAGGAAGGAGTCCCCGTGGGGATCGGGTCCCTGACACAGCAGAAGGGGAGGACACTGGTCCCTCCGAGTGCTACCCCGAGCCCAGGCACTAACTGTGACTCTGCCACATCCCCTTTGTCAGCTCCCTACGGGCAAGCACCTCTCCATCAGCTGGGGCCGGCTTGTGGGAGACCTTCCCCATGCTGCCCAGGTGCCCCCAGGCATAGCCTACACCTCCCCAAAGCTGTGAAGCAACAGAGAGTACCAGTGATGAGGAATACACACATTTGGATCCTCCCGCAGCAGGATGGGCTAAGAGAGAGAGAGAGAGAGAGGGCAGGGAGCAGGGGTAAGACAGAGAGAACAGAACAAGAGTGGGTTCATCTCAGTGGGATTTCCAACAGCACCACGGAAGAGAGGCCACAGGTGGGCGCAGCCCCGGGAACATCTTCCTGGCACCTCTGCCGAGCACAGGATGCTGAAGATGGAAGGCCGAGGGGGAGAAGGGGAGGTCTGCCGGGTGTAAAGCAGCTCCTCCCGCTTACGGGAGTGGGCTGGGGGTTTGCGAATGCACACACAGGGGTTCACCAGAGGCGTCCCAGCCACACTTTGGCAGCGTGATGCTGCCACGCAGCTGGCAGAGCAGGATGCAGGGCAGCTGTGGGGACACCAGCCCCTCAGAGACCACCGGGCGGTACTTACTGTCAATGATGTCCCCAAGGCCCTGGGCATAGAGAAGGTCACGCAGGCGTGCCACCTCGTCCTTCAGCTCCCGGATGAGCTTATTGTTGGGATCCTCATTGATGACGGCATTGCAGCGGATCTGCTTGGCACGGTCGGCGTACCTAGGCAAGAGCAGAGCCCTGAGCAGCGGCCGGGGCGGGGGTAAACCCCCAGCTGCTGGGCAGGAAGCAGTGACACCAAGACCCTTTAGAGGATCTTTTAGAGGATCCCAGTGCTGGGACAATCCTTTGGCCTCATGTCTGAGATTACACGGTCCCTCCAAAGCACACTACCCAACCAGGGATGCCACAGAGGTGAGGAGAGCACGTGGCAGCACCTGGGTTTCAGAGGATCCCCTGCCCTTGCCTGCTGTGGGGGGACGAAGGTACTTCCTACCTGAGGGTGCTGAGGGTCTCGTCATAATTGATGTCAGCAGGACTGAGAGCAGCAACCATGGCTGTCCTGGAGTTGCCCCCTGCCCAGAGAGATACATCCACATCAGGGAGACCCTGGTCCCTGCGCCAGCCATCACCCTCCCCTCAGCAGCCATGCCCATTGCCGAGCCCATAGCTCCCGCCCCCATCCTCACCCAGGTTCTCCCGCAGCAGCCAGGTCAGCACCGAGTCCCGGTAGGGGATGAAATCTGTCTTCTTCTTCTTTTTGTTCTGGGGGATGGAGAGCGGAGGGAAGGGCTGTCAGGCTGGCTGCTTGCTTCAAAGGGAAGGTGACAGCCAGTCCCCAGCCACAGGGACTTGCAGGAGAATGGCTCTGCCCAGCCGCCAACCCCAACTCTCCCAGCCTGTCCTCCCAGCAGAGGGGCTCCAGCCCTTGCAGCATCTCCATGACCTTCTCTGGACCCGCTCCAACAGGTCCACATCCTTCTGCTGTTGGGACCCCCGAGCTGAAGGCAGCACTGCAGGGGGGGTCTCCCCAGAGCAGAGCAGAGGGGCAGAATCCCCCCCCTCACCCTGCTGGCCACGCTGCTGGGGATGCAGCCTGGGATGCCGATAGCTTTCTGGGATGCCAGCGCACATTGCCAGCTCATGTTGAGTCCTCATCCTCAGGGCTGCTCTCCATCCATTCTTCTCCCAGCCTGGATTTGTGCTTGGATGCTGAGGGCTCTGCCAGCCCCGAGGAACAGCGTGGCATGGGTCTGGCCAGAGCCTCACTCCCAAACTACCCTGTGACCCACTCCTACCCACCTGTGCTAAAACCCAACCCCCTGTTCCCCAGCCTGGCCAGGGTACCCACCTTGTTTGGCCCCGAATCCTGCAAAGAAAGCGAAGAGACTGTTTAAGTGAACTGCTCCCCTCCTTAGCACCCACCACACCTCCCCGTCCCCCAGGCAGAGAGCGGAGGATGCAGGTCCCTGGGGAGAGAACAGCCTCACCGCCCCAGCTCATCCCAGCTCTGGGGACAGCTTGGGATGTATCTGCCCATCCCTCGGAGTCGGGATGCTCTGGCCCTCGGAGCTGAGCCCATCCCTGCTGAGCTGAGCCCATTCCCCCACGGTGCCACAGGTCATCTGTGCTCTGGCTACCCACCATTTCGGCTAGGGCGGAGATGACTTTCCCCAGTGTGGTCAAGGACTTGTTGATGTTTGCTCCTTCCTGGTGGATAGAGGAAAAGCCCAGATTTCAGAGCAGTGCTAAAGCCCGCTGCACCAGGAGGATGGGGATGTCCCACTACTGGGTGGGCAAAGAGCAGCTGGTTTTACTGGATAACCAGCACATCCCAGGTGGGACTCATGGACCTCTGTGGAACTGGCACTGAGCAGCTTTCAAACAAAAAGCCATCAAGGATTTTGGCAGTGTAGTGGGCAAGGGAGTGGGCAAGGAAAGAAGATGTCATGAGGGGGGCAGGACACGGCATCCCCGCCGGCAGAAGGGGACCTCGCGCCAGCTCTCACCTTTAGTCTTGTGCCCTTCGCACCAGTGGAGTCAGCTCGCTCACTCCCTGCCAAGTCCACCAAGCTGATTTTGCTGACCTGCAGGCCGAGATGAGGCTGTCAGCCCTGGCAGGCACAGCAAACCTGGCACGGAGCCCAGGAGAGAGCAAAGACCTTTTGCAAGGTGACACTGCTCTGAAGGCAGAGGTGAGTTCTGCAGGGTCATCCTTGCCAGCATTTGGCCAGGAGCAGGGCTAACATCCTTGCAGGCAGGGCTGGAGGGCACCAGCTGCCAAATATCCTGTCCAGGGGCCAGTCCCTCAAGGGACAGTGACCCCAGGTCATGCCTGGGACCTATCTTCATCCTGTTTCAACTCTCCATCAGACTGCACCATCTCGTCCCAAGTGCTGTTGATAGCATGCAACGCCCTTCCTGGCTCCACGTGGGTTCCCCTGAGTCCCCCAAGCTCTGCTCTCACCTTCTCAGTAGTGATGTCCGTCTCAGCATCGTGCCGCTTCTGCGTGAAGATGATGTTGAACACGGCATGGGAGCGGCTGCTTGTCTCGTTCATGTTGGTGGCAGCCACCGTGCTGCGGGGAGAGGACAGGGAGGTAAGACACTCTGCAGCAGACACTGGAGTGGGTGGCGATGGGGCCAGGACTCATTTCAGGACAGGGTACATAAGGGGAAGGCAAGTCTGGAGGACAGGAGAGGACTCCAGGAGGAGACGTGCAAAAGTCCAGGCTTTCTCCTGCTGGGGCCAGGGTGTGCTGAGAGCAGGAAGAAGGTAAGGTGAAAATAAGTAGGGGGTACCGACCACTCACACGGGAGGGGACTGCCACCTCCAAAGCAGCCAGACCAGCAAAGCACAGAAGTTAAGCGGGACTTTCTGGAGATGTCAGCAAGCTCTTCAAATCCTGACCACCTCCTGCTCCCCCAACTCACCGGGCCTTGTTCCCAGAGTCCATGAGGTCCTGGATGTCGTTGTAGGAGGTCACGGCCAGCTTGGAAAGGTCCTCAACATATGGGCCCATAAGGGGATGCTCCCTCACCCGCAGGTTCCCCTTGTTCTTGGGGTTCAGGAGGTCCCTCACGCGCTCGCAATATATCTCCATGTAGCTCACCTAGAGCAGAGGGCATGGGCAGGGCTAGCAGCCAGCAGGACGTGGATGCTCAGCACGTAGGCAGAACCAGGTCCTTCCCACCCACCCCACACCCAGCGATGGGACCACCCAAAGAGGGGTCTGCACAGCGGCATGGCTTGCAGAGACCGGTGGGAGGCTGGAGCCAGAGTAGGCAGGCAGCAAGGTGCCTACCTCCACGGAGTAGGACATGTTGTCATTCGTTGTCTCGTTGATGCGGGAGAAGAGGTCCTCACACAGCTGTGGAGAGAAAAGCCAGGCTGCTCAGCCCCCCACCAGGATGTTCCTGCCCAGGGTACCCAGGCCACAGGGAATTCTACCTTCTCACCCCAAAAACTAGAGCCCCCGAGTGCCGGGATGACTCCTGGAGAGCTGGCAGAACTGCCCCTCCCACTCCTGATATGGGGGGCTCAGCATCCCCAGAGCCCCCCTCAGCGCTTTGCAGGGCCAGAAGGCAGCAGCTTATGGCAAGCGCAGCCGGTGGCAGCTTGGTGGTTGGACTACCACTGTTCACAAACACCGGCCGCATGCGGCCAGATGGTAACTCATCCGGTCTCAGAGGACTCCAGCGTGACCCTCCTTGTCTGCCCCCCGCCCTCTGGCAGAGCCTGCCGTGGAGGGCTGCAACAGACAAAGCCTGGCCCCGCTCCCGCCTTCCCCCCCTCTTCTCTCCCCGCTCCGCTTCTGTGGGCATCGCGCTGGGACCAGGCGAAGGGGCAGCTTTTCAGCAGGCAGTACCTGCGGGATGATGCCTTGCTGGTCCTTTTCCTGCTTCCCCATCATGGTGTAGGATTTTCCAGCACCTGTCTGACCATAGGCAAAGATGCAGACATTATAGCCTTCAAAGGCATGTTGCAACATCTCCTCGCCGATGTCCCGGTACACTTGCTTCTGAGATGCATAGTTGATGTCTGCGGGCTGCAGAGAGGAGGGGGGACAAGGAGAAATTTGGCAAGGAGGTCCTCCCCCCTCTCCCCAGCCCAGCACTCCAGGAGGGCTCAGGCCTCCCGCTGCTTACCGTGGTGTGGGACCAGTAGGAATAGTCAAAGCTGAAGCTTTTTGGTGTCTCTTTGGGCTGCTTCGGGTTGAGGATAGCTAGAGGCAAACAGATGGCAACATGAGGCCACCTGGCCACCCGTGGTACCCCCGCCACCCGCATCCCACTGGTGAGGGAGAAGGCCGATGGGGTTCAATCCGAATTGGTCCTGGAAAGCGGGACTAGAACCTTCCAGCTCTGCAGATGGGTCCAGAGCCCCCAGACCCCAACAGTCCCAGCAGAGGAGGTGGGTGCCACGGCTGGCAGAGCCTCCACCAATCCAGGGAGCCGGGCAGAGCCTTGTCCAAACATTCTGCTGGGCACGGTGTGGGGAAAATAGCTCCTTCCTTGGGATCCTTCCCTCTCCATCGTCTGCCTGTGGGAGCCTGGCACTGGCAGGGGAGGATCACAGCCCTCCTTCACCCCACAACTGGGGGGGCCATGCCCAAAGCCCCATGCGTTGCTGCTGTGGGGTGGGAGCAGCCATGGCGCCATCAGGGCTCTCCCAGGCCCCCTCCAGCTCCTGCCTCTCCCCTGCCCGTTCTTTTGGGTACCCAGCCCCAGCAGGGTGATTAATGCCTCGTGTTATACCACCAGCAGAAACAAGAGCCTGCTTTTTCCCATCCCCTAGTGAAAAGGACGTTGCCATGGAAATTGGAGACTGCATCACTTCTCTTCCTCACTTGCTGCTTTTTTTTTTTTTTTTTGCCCCTATATAGCGTTTATGATGGGTTTTTTTCTCAAACAACAGATGCGTCAGAAGAAACCCAAACCAGCAGGGTAATCACAAGATCCGGCTATCAGCCATGTTAGGTGACATTGAAATGACCTTGTGGGCTGGCGCAGCACAGCTCCTGTTCCCACAGCTCTGCCACTGCCAGGGACCAGGAAGCCGTACAGCACCAAGGCTGGTGGAGGTGCCTCCATCGCAGCCCCAACCTGCCCTGCCCTGGGGCCAGCGCTCAGCCGTGGCTCACACCCTCTTGGGATTCAAGCTGGGACCTTCCCAAGCAGCCCCAGGCATGGCACAGCCCACTGGCCCCACGCGGGGTCAGATGCCACGGTGTGCGGTGTTATGGAGACAGATACTTTCTGCTCCAAATTCCTCCTCCATTGCCAGGACAGATTCTCCCCCAGGAGGGATCCGCCACTTCTGTCCTCAGACCCGTCGATCCCTGCCCGCAAAGGCAGCAAGGTGGGCAGGTGGAGGGTGGGAAGGGGGGCGGTCAGGATCGAGCCCTGACTGCGAAACAGCAGCACAATGATGCTCAGATGCCCCTTGCCTTGGGCAGGAGCCCTGCCAGTGCCTGGTCGGTGTACCAAGGGCGGCACAAGTGGCCATTGCAAAAAGAAGCGGGTGTCAAGGCCACACAAGAAGCCAGGTGGAGCATCTCAGATGGCTCCTGGAGTTCACCTGGCAGCTCCACCGTGCCGGCTGGCCCCCCGGCTCGGGTCTGTCTCTGCCCTGCAGAGGTAACCCTTGCCAAAATGAACAGGAACATTGCCCCCCTCCAAAAATTACTCCAATGGGGACAAAAGCAGTAGTGGTCAGGATGGGGCTGCACAGGGCAGCTGTTCTGCATCTCAGTGCCAGCACACACTGGACACGGGGTGGAGGAGCAGCCAGGGATGGCACCGAGCAGCTCTGGGCATCCCAGCTGCAGCCACCCAGCTGGCCTGGCAAGCTGGAGACCAGGACACGGGGGAGAAGGGAGCACACCAAGAGCACCCAAGCTGAAACGCTCTCCCCACGCCCCTTTAATTCCCATTTATTTGCCCCACACACCACCCCCCCACACGTGCCTGGATGCTGCTGGTGGGTTTTTTCCTCTCCTGAGACCAGGCATCCTATGGCTTTTGCAAAGCTGCTGCAAAAGATTGGTACTCTGGCCAAAGGCGATTAAAAAAAGGCAGGGGGGGAAGACAGACATACAGACAAGAAGGGGAGGAAGACAACATCTGGAGATGACCCTCATCTTTGCCCTGAAGAGGCAGCGGCACGGAGAAGGTAGTGAGTGGGCAAGCACCGAGCAGGATAAAACCCGAGACCCACAGGAGAGAAAATAATCGCTGTATTTTAAAGCCTGCAGACGCATGGCTCCGGCCAGAGAATATTAATAGCCTTGCGGGATGAAAGCTGGGGTCCCTTCCTCACTGTCCTGATAGGAGCTGCCAGGAGAGGGGCCAGGGGGTGTTGGTGGCCGAGCTGGTCCCCACAGAGCTGGGGGGACACTGCAGGAACAAAGCAGCAGTGTTGGTGGGCAGGCAGCAAACCAAGGGGGCAACGGCTGTGAGTTGCGGGGCAGGGGGGAGAGGATGACAGAGAAGGGCTGACCCCTTTCCATCCCAGCCCCCGCTGCCTCCCCCCCACAGGGCTTAATGCATTAGGCAGAACAATCACACCTCCTGCCCCGGTACACACAGGGGTCTCTGGAAATAATCCCGAGAAGGGGGAAACTTGCTCTCATGCCCCCAAACACATTTATTTTTGGCTTCTCTGTGAGGAGCTTGAGGGGAACTGAGACAGTCCCTGACCCCTTTCCATCCCAGCCCCCGCTGCCTCCCCCCCACAGGGCTTAATGCATTAGGCAGAACAATCACACCTCCTGCCCCGGTACACACAGGGGTCTCTGGAAATAATCCCGAGAAGGGGGAAACTTGCTCTCATGCCCCCAAACACATTTATTTTTGGCTTCTCTGTGAGGAGCTTGAGGGGAACTGAGACAGTCCCGCTCTGCTGGGGACGTGGGGGGGGGG